GCCTGCATAGCCTGTCGTTTCAATAGATAGGCTTCATCAGGTTAATAGAATTTTGATTGATTGATTGATTGATTGACAAGATAACCCGAGTGATACTAGCTGGAGCTAAAGCGATTCTCCCAGTCTATCGTATTACCTCAATCCCTGTACTTTACCGGGAGTCAGGGCTTCTGCTAGCAGAGATTGAGCTAGACTATATAGTTACTATTGTTACAGTCCGTTTCCGCCGCCTTGACCCCTATCACCCTCTCCACAGGAGAGCAGAAAGGGTAACCCGAACTAGCCTCCAGACTAGCCGCTTTGTACGCCGCGTGCTAGCTCTCCCTGAATCAGAACAAATAAACCCACTGCAAAATCCCCCCTGGCTCCTACAAGAGGTACGCGAGGCAATTTACCAGCGAATCAGGGCCCCTATAGGCATACCTAAGAAACAGACAGCTGATAGGTTTCAAAGATTTTACGCCTCTCTTCTACAGACCGATATAAAGGTCTTTACAGATGGCTCGAATTAGAAAACGGAATAGCAGGCAGCAGATATGCCCTATATTAATCTGGAAGGCTATTTCAGCAGTCTTCCTTTTCCCTAGAACCGAATAAAGAGGTCTTTGATGCTGAAGCTGAGGCAGCTTTAGCAGGACTTAAAACAGCTTTCAAATTGGATACTGCTCGCTTCGCCACTAACCTCTGGATTTATCTTGATAATCTGGAGGTAGTTACGCGCCTTCTTTTACCTTTCACGGGCTCATCTCAAGGGGTCTTCGAATCCTTCCAAACCCTAGCCCAGTCCTGGCTGGCAAGGGAGAGGTTTTCATATACCAATGGCGGCGCTGTACGGGTCTGCTGGGTCCCTGGTCACACACAAATACCCGAGAACGAGGCAGCTGATTAAGCTGCAAAGAAGGGTACTACCATAGATCCTCCTATCTTAAGTAAACATTCGCATGTTTCGTTAAGGCGGCAGGCTAAAGCAAATGTTATAACTGCCTTTCAAAGATACTGGCAGGCCTCGGTTCCCCAATCCTATCAAGATCTCTGGATTACCAACTTCCCTAGACGCCCTGCAGAGCTAAAGCTCCCAAGGCCACTTCTAGCACGGATTCTAGCTTCTCGTACAGGCTACGGAGACTTCGCAGCTTATCATAAGCGATTCAATCATAAAGATGCCTACCTTTTCTGTCGCTGTGGTACAAGAAAGACTACAGTTCACTTCCTTTTTGGCCCTATCGCAAAGAGGCGATTCTCCTGACCTTCAGAGGCCCCTTCTGACATAATTCCCTACCTGCTAGGCACCCCAAAAGGGGTAACTGAGCTGGCTACGTGGCTATCAGAAACTCGCTTCTTTGAAGATATATGCGCACTCGGCATCCACTGCCTCAGCTAGACTGAGGACCCCCCCCCCCCAAAAAAAAAAAAAAAAGAGAGATAGAGGTGGTAGGATAGGTCATAGTGCTTAGGAGGACCTTTGCAGCTGGCATTAACTTCCTGCCTGGTCTTCAGGCTTTCTTTCTTGACTGCGGCAGCTATTCAAAGCGCTAAAGTCCCTTAATTTTGTACTTAGAACTAGAACTTTATATAGAACTAGTTAGTGACGCCCAGGGCTTACCCCCTGGCGGCCTTTGCCCCAGCAGGGGACGGCGGGACACGTGCCTAGGCGGTGAACCGCGGCTGTACCTAAAATATAACTAACTAAATTAGACCTCTCGTCCTACCAAGCCAACAAACAGATTATTCCTCGCACACATTATTCAAGAAAACAATCCAGTTTAAACTGATTGAACTGTATTTTACCCGTTTGAGACTCTGATGTGTCAAAATACATAATATTATTTGAATCGATTGTCTAGTGAGCATAAAGTTTAAGATGCTATAGCATTTGCTGTGGACATAGTTCGCTCTCTATAGACAAAACTGGGCCATAAAAATTTAGACCCTCTACAATATTATATAGTCACATACATGATGTTCGTGCTTTTCGTTTGTCTGTTAATTCAAAAGTAAGGGTTTATGATGAAGTAAGGGTTTATGATGTGAAACGCCAATTTTGATACGGAGATGTCATTCAAATGGCTAGTGAACAGATTTTCTAGTTTCCTAAGCATATCTCAAAATCAAACGATGACAGTCTTCTTTTAGATGCCACGGCTTACATATCGTGCATTGGCATTCGTAGATGGATACAGATGCAGCAGACGCCTTTTCGGCAGTCTTACGTCGAGAGCCACTCAAATGAGCTCAAACTTGATATGACAACGGTATATAAGCTCGTAGATTATTCGATCAAAGGGTGATGGCATTGGCTTTTCTAACCGCACTCACGCTCTCAAATATAGGAGGCGCTTTCCACCTACCCTCTTTCAAGATATTCCATTCAAAAACCTTAAAATGCCATTCTACTCTTATGCTTTGTGGCATAAACGGCGTGATGGTGACACCGCGCTCAACAACCGCTGTATGATCATAACCGACACCCGTGCTACGGCAGACCAGTTTTACCGTGGTATTCAAGAGCAGATGGCCTTGAAGTCTGATCTATGGCGGCTCTCTCCATAGATGTGGACATGGGGGGCTGGCGGCACAGATAACCTCCGTGAACTGATTCAAGATATCAACAGCGGGAATTCACAGTATGCAAATGACCGTTTGAAACGGCTTCGCGGAAATGTTTTTCTCTGATACGAATCTATAAGATTGCGTGATCTAGTGGCTTGGCCCGCACACTCGAACCCCTGAGGAACTTACCCCTTTATCCATTAGATATATAGAAAAAGAGATTGAATCGTTATGCAAGAGAATTAAGAGCCCTATCATTCAAAAGGCATTCGCTCCTTAGTAGGCTACGTGCGTATAGCCGATACAGTGTCATTCTGCCCTCCTTCCCCTGTGCATTTCATAACATTCTCGAATATTTTTACAACTGGGACACGAAATATGCGTGGTCTATACTACCGAAATTTGAACTTACAGACCACATTAATACGAAAACCTTCTTCATTCGAAACAAACTGGCCCGTAACCAGTATTGGATGGAAGGTGCCAGCTCATAGATTGCACTCTCTACAGAGCGACGATCAAGGTTCCGGATTGAGATTGTGGGTGATGACAAATCCCAGAATGGCGAAAACCTACTTATTGTCGATTCTGATCGTGTACGATTGACGCCGGTACGACCTGAAATGCCTGGCCAGATTGGGGGAGAGTTCCGATTGCATATAGACGAATCGGGCTATCTGAAAACATTTGGACAAGGAAACACTGAATTCAATTTTGGGGCGCTCAAAGGAGGTTTCGCTATTTTCAATACGAAGGATGCTGTTATCTAGTTAACTACCCTGTTTTCCTCGCTGACTACGCGACTGAGGGCGAGAAATGGGAATTGGTCTAAGTTTGTCAACGCGAGGATTTGTCTCACTGATTGACTTTTTAATGACTGTGCACTACTTGGGCTTTTTCCAGCCCCTTCTCAATGCAGTTTTTCAGTATGCGACAGAATGCCAAAAGCACCCAGCTTTGTGATGATTATTTATTTTGTCATTCCCTATTATTGTTTTCTCTCTGAGTCAGGAAGTTAATATATTATTCATAACCTGAAGTTAGTATTTTAGGTTCTAGTACAGCAAGAAAGGTAGTTTCTATGACTCACAATGTCATAACTGTTAGTTAAAGAAGTCGGAAGGTATTTTCATCACTCTCTTTGAACTTTGGACCAATACAGAAACAGAGAAGCATGTTTTCATTGTAATTTCCGACTGGGAGCATAAATATATGTAGAAGTTTTCTATAACAGGGGTAGGCTGCCGAAGTGGTCAAAAACGATTAAAATTATTGAATTGCTTGAATAAAGGAATGACTGTTTAATTAATTAACTAGGGGTCAAGATAGGCCCTTTTGTAATTATTTTCACGTAATCTTCATAGCATAGCCGATATCAAGGAATCTTCCGCTTCATTCTCATAGAATCCTCCGCTTAGTACGATATTTTCGGAACTTTTTGTTTGGCGGACTACCTAAAGCACCTAAATCTTCTACAATATATAGTGATTACATATAAATCGATGTTATAAAGTAAATTTGGCAACGAATGAAGAAAACATGTGGGTGTAGTTCAAGTTATTTTGAATTCCCGAGGCTCATATAATGTACTGTAGGATCCTAGTTAAAGCAGGCAGATATAGGTTTGGTAATTGAGTTGATGGACAAGGGAGATAAAGTCTTGATACATGCTGTCATCGTTAAGGCAATGGATGGATAATTTATCCGACCGATTGGTGGGCGCAAATATCCGTAAAACCCCGCGATTAAGCGAAATGGATGGAAAGATCGACATGGCTATCAGACACTAAATCTCATTGGCATATTCGCTAAGACGGGAAGCAAGACGGGAAGCAAGAAATGTTGAGTCAATCGTCAATATCAGAGGCCGTTGTTCACGATAAAAAGTGGATATAGGCCCACCGCATCAACCAAGCGGGGCGTTCTTTCCAAGTTGTGAAATCTCCGCGAGAACAAGAATATTCGCTCCCTATGTCCTGTAATTCATTCCTCGCTTTCATCTCTAGTTTGTAGTGCATAAGCTTCCGTCAACATGTCGCACGGTAATCTCGCTATACCCGTCGGGTCGCGCGTCCTCGTCACTGGTGCAAACGGCTATATCGCAACGCAGATCATCGAGCAGCTTCTCCTCCTTGGATATGTTGTGAGAGGGACTGTGCGTGCATTTAAACCATGGCTTGATACGTATTACCATGAAAAGTTTGGGAAGGATGCTTTTGAGCAGGTCATTGTGTCGTCGTTTACGAACAGACATGAGATTGACCCTGTGTTGGACGCGGTGGATGGAATTATCCACGTGGTTTGTTTTGTCAATTTCCTGTGGTAGTACGTAACGTGAGCTGATCGAGAAAAAAGGCCTCCGATGTTTCAGGGAGTTCTGACCCGGAGAAAGTCATTCCGTGGGTCGTACGAGCGACCTTGGATTTGCTTGATCTCGCTGCCCAGAAACCAAGTATTAAGCGGGTGGTGCTTATCTCTTCATCGATGGCATTGTATAATATTCGCCCGGGTCTTGGACAAGATACAGTTGATGAAAGTACGTGAACATAGCCTCTACGACGGCAGGGAAGGATAATTTATTTGCTGACTCATTTACAAAGATACATGGAATGACCGAGCTGTACAAGCTGCATGGGACCCTGAAATCCAGGATGGCATTAAAGGCAACGAGGTTTATGCAGCGGCTAAAACCGAGGCTGAGAGAGAAGCATATAAATGGGTAGAGGAGCATCAGCCCAAATTCGTGCTGAATAGCGTGCTCCCCAGCTGGACGGTAAGGCTCTTCGCATTTCCACAACTGGTATGGTCACCAAGTCTCACATTAAATGCAAAAGATTGGCAAAGTACTCTCCCCGGAGATGTATGGTTCCACGATGGGCTTTACACGTTTGGCATTGAAGGGTGACAATATGTTCTTATCATTCCTTCCTCAACGTACGTCCCCCGTCCCTTGAACATCCATACGGAGAGGCGCAGGAAGTTCTAACCAGGAACACCCCCCGTAGATTGGTTCGTTGATGTAGAAGACATCGCGCGTCTCTGCGCTGTGGGACTTCTCGATCCCAGCGTTCATACCGAGCGACTGTTCGGCTTTGCGGAGAACATGAGCGGGCATGATATTATTTCAATCCTTCAGAAGCTGCGCCCAAGGAATTCAAATATTAGCCAACCCCCTGGGGACGTGATACGAGACCAAACCACGGTTCTCCCTCGGAAGCGGGCAGAAGACCTGCTGCGGACGTTTTACGGCCAATCGGGATGGACGCCTGTCCAAGATAGCCTGGAGAAGGGCATCGATGGATGGGAGTAGATTTGGGGTCTGTGTTACCTTAATTTCTGGGTCGGATGGGGTATTTGTTAGAAATTAGGCCACAATGTCTTTCATATTCTCCTTTTAACTTTAGACAATGGTATCCTGCACTGTCACCATGTTCCCCAATCTTACCGTGTTAGCTTGATCATGCCTCGTGATACTCCCCTAACATCCCACCCCGTGCGACAAGCGTAGAAAAGGCTGGAGCAAAACAGATTGTCATGTCTTCCAATCATCGTGTCATTACCATATTCCGTTCCCAGAATGTCTCACCACCTTCGGGCTACCTCGTATAGACATCTCAGCCTTCCTACAAGTCGCCAAGAGATCTATCATCTATTACACAATGACCCAAATTACACAAGGCTAACTTACCTCTTCATCACAATAGCCTACTGTAAAGTATGGCAAACATTGAAGGCATGGCTCCTCGGCACCCAGTGAAATTCTTTTGTGACGCCACTAGGAACTACCTGAACGTTGAATACGAACGGGGGGGGGGGGGGATACAAGCCTCGATTTCGGTACAAGTTTCGAAGGTCAGATGGCTTTCTGCCATGATGGCTTTCCACTTGGCGTGGGGTAATGATATCTGAAATGGTCGACTCAAAATAAGTATAAAACGATCGTTCACCTCCATTAACGTACTTGTCTTTTCAACACATAGTCTTTGCTTGTTTGAGTGTTCAGATTTTATCGTCTCGGAAACAGAATTTATTGAGTCAAATCAACATGAAACTTCTTCCTATTGTTGCTCTCCTCGCAGTTGGCTCTTCCGCTGCCGAGATGAGAGCATGCAGTCGACCCGACATGGGAGGCCATTGCGAAGTGCGGGTCTGTACTCACTCGTCCTCGTTATTAATTTTCCATATGCTCAAAGCTAATCAATATATTTTAGACATCTCTGTAACTTCCTTCTTGATCCTCCAGCCCCACTCATGTCATGCAAAAGCTGATGTCTCTCCAGCGGCAGAACGACCGGCAACTGGCGCTCTTATAACTGGCGCGCCAGCCGGAATCGATGCGTCAAAATCTGTAATAGTTGTGACGTATGTTCTTCTTAATCGTCTTTCATAAATGCATAAGCGTGCCTCGTCTAATGTCGATTTTTACTAGGAACTGGGCTGGCGGTGCCAGAGCTATAGCAACAACAACATCGCCTTCAATAAGTTCATCATCTTTGATTGGGCAGGTGGATCAGGACCGGGAGCTACGAGCTGCTGCTAGGCGAAATCAGACTAGTGATCTTTGGGTTAGGCTATGTTGTCTGCGTTCGAATTGATTTCGAATTTGCTGTCTGGGTTGTTCTTGTACATGGATTATGATTAACCTGTCGAGGAACTAAATTGATCAGAATGTTTTTGCCCAGGATAAAAGCTCAGTAATACCACCGGAGGACAATTTGAGAGCTACAGCATCCCATGCAGTTCGGTCAAATAGTCACCTAGATAGGTTAGAATGCGTGGAGATCCTGGCGGCAGCAGGTAAATAGGGCGGAAGAACAAACCGGCGATTTTCCACCTAGTAGACTGTGTCTGCAGAATCCTCCAGATCATGCTTTTTTGGGCTTCAAAGGTGTTAGAGGATATCTGTGATATTCGCCGAACCCTCAGTATCTCAACCATGACCTGATAGGCCATGTGAATAAAATATGGAAACTGTTCCGTATATAAATACTCGTTTTCCTCTGGGGATCCATCTCGGAGACGGTCAAGAGCAAGATCCGACAAAACCGTGAGGATTGTTTTGATAGCAGTGGATGACTCGAATCGTTCCTGTTGGCTGAAGGCAGGACTGGGGGATGTGAGACGCCATTTGTGGAGGTGGACAAATGCGCTGGTTTTGGTTCCCCGTGGTTAGCGTTGCTCGAATTAGAACGAGAAGGTTGCAAGTCTTCTATGATGGTACCTACCTCAAGCTGATTGCAATTGCTTCGCAGCAGTATCCTAGACCCAGATGTACCAGTGACTGCAAAAACACGAGCAGGCTTCGATCAACTAGTTGAAAGTGGAGTCGACCCTCTGGACTCATTGTGCTAGAGCTTTGCACGAGCTCAAGAACCACATCGAGCCAAATAGCCGCTCTCGTTTGAAGGACAAAGTGATCATAAAGTGGGTTGGAGACGACATTCCTTATAATCTCTTGCACTTCGCTGTCAATATCTCTATTGTCAAGTATGTCCATGTTGCATAGTTGGAGAGGCCTGGTGGGAAATCCGCTTTTCAAGCTGATCATTCTGTGGGAAGTATGGATGTTAGTTTTGACATCAGCTGACCTGATTTTTTAATTTCGATTTACCTCTCATGAATGGCAATGGCCCACCACGTTCGCAACCCTGCCTCGGAAGGGCTCCACGAGCCTGACACTGGAAATGGGGGCGGGCTCTGCGTTGGGCGAATTCCAACAACATAGGCCATACTTATGCAGACAGATATGGTCAGATACGATGCATTGAGGAGACCTTGTCCATATTCGTGTACAGAGAGTAGTAGACCGGCTTGTATGAGGTGAAGAGTCGGCGATGCCATAGCTTCTGGATCCCAGAACAGCCTTTTTGTGGCATTATATATTGGTTCCCGGAGCTTGTCCACGAATGGCCGTGTCACTAGTCCCATGGCTAACAGCAACGTGTTGGAGTCTCTAGCTCCATGAGAGAGGGCTGGATGATATCGATTCGCAAATGTGTCCCGATGGACAATTGGGAACCATTTCTGACAAGACATCAGAAATTCCTGCGCTAAAATCTCGATCTGTCGTCTATGCTTGCTGACTAGACTAGCAATATGCGAGAGACTTGACATGCTCCAATCAGGTACGCGGTTTAAGTCCTGTGCTAATGCATGTTCAGGGGTGGTCAAGGATTGGAAAAGCAAGCCTTCGTCAGGTGGAATCCAAGGTCCTCTAGCTGTGGTTGGAACTGCGTAGCAACATTTGAGAAGAAGCCTTTAGAACCGATTAGATTTGCATTGGACTTAGACTGCACAAACACACTTACCGCTCACACCGAGAACATGTTGGCCATCGTTTATCGCATTTCTGCTTGCGTTCCCTGCATGAGTCGCACACGGTAGATGTTAACTCTACAGATGATGTTCTTGGTTGAGTCATTCTCGTGCTGTATCAGAATTAACGATCGCGAGATGTTGGAAATTGAATGAGCTCAACGTGTCCGGTCAGTCGGTTTTCAAGTTAACCGACCCCTGTGTCGTTAGCGTCCCCGATCCCTGTCGTTTCATTCCACTAGTTGGCTGTGATGGATACGGTGACTGGTTGAATCTGGTGAGAATTGACGCCAAGCAATTGAAGGATCGTTTAGCGTCTTGGTCCTTCCGATCCTGATCAATCTTTTTGGAGTTCTCTCTTTGAATGAGGAATCAGAGTCAAAGTCGATTCTCGAAGTTGGTTGTAGTTTAGCTGAGAAATCAAAATTGGATTATGTGTTCCCCTTAACAGGATGTATAAATTGGTCGGCATGATCATGTCCAGCGATCGTTCGCTTATCTCCCATCCAAAGTGCCTTTTTTCAAGCACATTCGACTATTTACTCATTCGTTTTTGTATTACTGTAGGCCCTATATAGGCCCAGAAACCTTAACTGCCCAAGTCAGGACTGAAGCGCCATGAGACAACCTATCATCCCTCCGACCCCAAGCGGGACGTGCCTAACGGGAAAGACAGTCCTGATTACCGGTGGAAACAGTGGGATTGGGTTCGAGACCGCGCGCCAACTTCTTATCCTCAACAGCTCCCGAGTTATCATCACGGCCCGCGATACAGCTAAAGGCAATGAAGCTGTTGCCGCGCTGCGTGACGATCCGGAGGTAAAGAAGAGCAATCCATCAGCACTCATTGAGACCTTCTCGTTAGATCTCGACGACTATCGGTCTGGACTCCGCTTTACTCAGGAGGTGAGGGAGAAACTTCCCGAGCTGGACGTTCTGATATGCAGTGGAGGAGTCAATATAATGGAGTATCAAGTCAGCAAGTCCGGTCACGAAAGGGTAATGCAAGGTGAGTAGTTGATGTCAAAATAGATTTTATATCACTGTCTAACAATTCCCCATGCACAGTAAACTGCTATACCCATTTCGTCATCGTGCTGGAGCTTCTTTCCCTACTTCGGGCCACGGGACTCAAACGAAGGAGCCCTTCACGAGTGACCTTTATCGGTTCCCACTACCAGTCTCACCATTCGCTGACAAGATCTCCCATCGGAGCATCTGATTCTGTGTTGGAGCACTGGGATAACCGGAATAAATACAGCGGCATGCAGCGTTACGCGGACAGTAAATTCGTCATCAACATTTTTGTCCGCCAGCTAGCGACAATGGTTCCCAGCTCCGAAGTCGTCATCAATAACTTTTGTCCCGGGTTTGTGGCCACGAGCTTTGACAAAAACTTGCCTATCTGGATTAGGCCGGTTCTTTCGCTTTGGCGAAAGCTTCTGGCAAGAAACGTTCAGGACGGTGGTAGGACGGCAGTCTATGCCACTGCGGTGGCTGGGGAGGAGACACATGGTAAATATTTGGAGAGTAATAAGGTTGAACCGTGAGTACTTGCCCTTAAATATTTATTTTCCCTTCCTCTGGCTTATCTGCTGTGCAGTGGACCGTCGTACCTGAGAGAGAAGAGAGGGGAAGAGCTTGCAGGAAAGCTGTGGAATGAGATACTCGAGGAGGTGAATCGAGAGGATCCTAACTTTAATCGGTCTCTTTAATATGTAGTTACTTTTCATTTGACGTGATTGAGTACTCGTTATAATATCTCGTTAGGGGTCAATAGCAGCAAGAAATGATCATTTTTCAGCATGCAACACAAAACATGAAGTGTTGCAGCCTTAGTTTTAGTGCCTGACGCCTCAGGCGACTAACATAGCTCTAGCCTCAGGCCACACAATCAGGCAACCACCTCAGGCAACCACATCCATATCCGCCATCTTCAACTCCATATCTCTCTCGATGCGTCAACGTGTCCTCTAGAACATGTCTAATTGGATGCCCCGTCACAGTAGATTTTCGTGGCTCTTTCGACATTCAAGGAGAATTTCTTCTTTTATTGGTACGTTCCTAGTGAGATGGAGATGGCAGCTGCTTCCGATCAGACCTATACTAAATATGGTTGACCAGCCTAGATCTTCCGCAAATTTTGGAGTGAATAGACATCTTCAACTGCAGAGTTGGATAAAAATATCATCGGATACGTCAATCGTCCAGGTTCATGTCTGAGACTGTTCAGGCATCCATATGCAGCAACCCGTCTGGTATGTTGATCGAAATCCCTACACCTCTCCTGCCCCTCTTCTTGTCTCGAATAATAGATTATTGATTTATTGATACTCGTGTTCGTCTTGAGGGTCAGATAAAGTCATTTTCGAACCCACAAAACGCTGTAAATATCTTGGAATGTCTGCTGGGTCGAGGTATATAATCGCACAGCGAACATGCAAATAGGGCGCAACAACTGCACAACCTAGTGGGAAATATGCGATAAGTGAGGGGAAGCGACCATAAAATAAAGCCTGGCTAAGCCCACATGGATAAATGAACAACAGTCAGAGTTCTCCTAGGATACGACACAGTCAATCAGATTCTACCATTTCCCGTCGCACCGGTCAGTGATGCCTTACGATTGGCCTGATCGACACCTGGCAGCCTTAGCGCCCCCCACGAGGGGCCGCGACATCTACAGCGTAGCAGTTTTTCTCGCTCTTCTTCAGTGATAATCCATCTCTTCAGCCTAGAGAGCCTTGTGTGCTCGCCACTACCACAGCCTCCTGATGAAATGACCCCTCCGTACGAGGCTGAAACCCTGTGCTACCCATGGAGTCTCCCTATATTTCAGACTGCCTCCGTGATGACTCTGTTCGAGATGCTGGATTCCCTCGGCCACTGCCTCCCACACCGCGACAGTGATGGAGGGAGCAAGTGCTGCACTCGCGTTTGTCCAGCTCGGCTTGAGCATAGCGACTACTCTGAACACTTATATCGCCGACGTGCGTCATGGTCGCGGTGACATCGCGGACCTCGCCAACGAAATCGAAGCGACCGTCTTGCACGCGCAGGAACTCGACAAGCTCATCAAGGAAGATGAACTGACTGCGCGATGGAGTGAGAAGGGGCGTGACCTCGCTAACAAGTGTCTCACTAACTGCCGCAATGTGATCAAGAAACTGTCCGATCTACTTCGCCGATCCGGGGGTACCGCCTCGGGGAAGGTGCTGAACGGTGCCGATGAAGCCGAATCCAACGATACCAAATCACTCATCTCGTGGACGGATATTGACATGTCGAATTTCAATCGTCTTTATTGGCCGTTGTTGAAGCCGCAACTGAAGTGCCTCAAGCAAGAGTTGTACGATATTAAGCTCAGTATCTTGCTCGCGGTGAATACATATCAAATCAATGCGACGTGAGTATTGGGTGTCCTTTAGTTTACATGGCTCCATGATTCTGATGGATGACTGCAGTCAAAAGACCGAGGAACGAAAAGTGATCGCTAAACGAATCGTCGCTCTCTGGAAATCGCGTACAATCGCCCGTCGCCAGTTAGTCGTTTTCCAGCGACATCTCGAGACCCCCTACGACGACTATTATCGACCAAACCATCGAAAGCCAAGGCAGCGAGACGAGGCTAGAGCGGAAGAGAGGGGAATTCCGGAGCCAGACTCAGAGAAGGCCGAGCCACCGCGTGGTCGAGAAAGAAGTTTGTCGACGTCGAGCCTCTCTGATGATAGTTCCTCGAGAGGCTACCCTCACCGTCAACGATCGTCGGAATCTGTTCGCGAACAGATGCCTCGCCGGCAACGATCTGTCTTGCAGGACGTATATCTCGGCCGTCATACACATCGCTCCCCACCAGAACGCAATGGGCTCCCATTTGCGCCCGATCCGGAATACGTGAGCGAGTGGAAATCCAAAGGACGGCAGATCCTCGACTACGCGCTAGGATTTGTGCTTGCCTCTGGCGAGGATGCCACTGGGACGTGGCAAAACCTGAGTCACCTATGGGATTCGTATAAGACTAATCCAGCGGCACTCAAGAGGTAAGTCGTGTCGGTCAAGTCGAGCGCGTGCTATTAAGTACTGGATCGTAAGCTAATCATTCGCAGTGTTTTGAATAAAGTTGTCACGGCAGTTCCCTCCAAACCCAAGAATACCCTTCCATTGGTTTTAAGAGACCCCGAATCACCAAATGGCACTGCTTTCACCTGGTCGCTTCTCATTTCCAAAAGATCCGTGGCACACGCCGTCGAGCCCATCAACTATCCGCTTGAACTTTTATCCAAACGCTTGCTACGCGAGGAACGGAAATTCAATCGGTCGGGATCGCTAAACCTGCAAGCCTACAACACGCTTTCCACTCTTCCAATGACATATCAGAATATGATAACAGATTGGCTTCGTCCGAAATCATCTCGTTCCTTCCACTGGGAACTGTTGATTTTGGATCCAGCATACGGAGCAACTGAAGAGAACTCTAGCCGACGAAAGCGCCTTGCTCAAAGGTTCCGCCGCACAACAGCAGGATCAGACGCTCTCGGTGAGCCAACGAGTGTTCTTGCCGTTTTCAAACGATGCATGAAGCCGGATGCTGAAACGTCGTCCCTTCGATCTAATTATCGACCCTCATCCGCCTCCTCCCGTCGAGCTCGGAGAAAGCGCAAAATGCAACAGATAGCAACCACCTTGATGGGAGCGCTAGCTGCATCAACTCACATAGACAAAAGACGGTCATCCCGGGAGAATCAGGACTCACGCTCGCCCAGAGCCTGCCAGCGCCGTCGTCGGGGTTTCTTTCCCAGGTCTCTCAGTCGAGGAGGGTCTACTCGTAATCATTGGAGACACAGACAAGAGCCAAAGACTGGCCAGGTCTACGAGATGTTTGAGACTGAAGAGCCTCCTGAAGCAGATGACAGCCCAAATGATGATCTCGCCGAAAAGATTGTGACTGAGTATACGGGTCGTGGTGCTCGGTTCAATGGCACTACTGATGGGTCTAGGCCGAATCGTGTGCGGAGTGAGACAATGAGTGACACTCCGACGGCAAATGGAGATCCGCCTTTTTGATAAAGTGTCAGACCAAGGCTCTTAGAGTTGAAATGGCCCAACTCGCCCAACTCCGTCCGCGTTGTGATGCTGTTGATCTTGTGCAACCCTATTTCCCCGGACCGGGTCAGAAAATGAGAAATTTCACCCTCAAATAAAAGTCGAATTGGAGTACGTGGTTGAAATGAAATTTTCGGGTGTTTGTATTCCAGTTTCGATATTCTTTCAGTTACTTTGACCTCTTCGGTGTTTCGTTTTTCAATTTTCCTTCTAAAAATGTCATTTATCTGGAGGGATTCATCAAGTAGTATACACATTCAGAATGAGTTATTTTTTCCTACTTGATTAGCAGAAAAAATCAGTATACAGAAAGTTCTTATTCTAAATTCTCTTATTTAATATTCTCCCAGTATCCACAATTCTACAAGATCAGGCCGGTCCTCTCTGAACCGTCAAAGTCAAACCCGCATCGATGTTCACCACCGATCCATTGATATAGCTCGAAGCCGGACTACACAAGAAAAGGATCGAGTCGGCCACCTCCTCCGGAAAAGCTCCTCTCTTCAAGGGACTGACAGCCTGGATAATCGGCCCTAACTGTGGCACTCGCACCAAACTCTTCTCCATCATAGGCGTTTGCGTCCACGCCGGACAGACGATGTTAACCCGGATATGGTTTTTGATGTTGTCAACGGCTGTAATTTAGCTGGTTAGTCAACTTCTTTCTTTCCTACGAACAGGTCTAGAAGTTAGGAGTGAGGAAAAAGGAAAGCACTTACCAGCCGTCTTCGCGATACCAATAACTGCCCATTTCGACGCCGAGTAGTTCAGCATGCCAGGCGCCGCGACCAGGCCGTTGACAGAACAGACGATGACAATAGACCCTCGTACTAGACTTCTCTTTGTCCCGTGTCGAAAGCTCGTGTACTCAAGAGGCTCCTGAGCAGCCATAGCTCCCGAGACAGCGCGAAGGACCAGCATCGTGCTTCGGGCGTTGACGGCCATGGTTTTATCGTACATTTCGATGTTCAGATGTTCCGTGACCGCGCCAGAAAGGTTTCCCATCTTTAAAATCGCGTCGGCTTTGTCAGGAACCTGTTTGGAAGAAATCCAATCGTAAAATGAGGGTGGGAAAGAAAACTCACGCCGGCAGAATGCACGCAATGGTCAATACGACCGAATTCCTTTTTCGCGACTTCCACAGCATTATCGACGCTCTTTTCGTCCGTGACGTCGGTTTGCACGGCGATCGCGCGAAAGCTCGAATGTGTTGCGAACTTCTTGCTTTCCGATATGGTCGATTCGGCCTTTTCTAGATCGAGGTCTACGAGGAGGATACCCTCCACGCCAGCTTGTGCTAGGGAGAACACCGTCTCCTGGCCGATGCCAGAAGCAGCCTATGGTGAAAATGAGGTTCAGTTACACCGTGGTAGCTCAACTTGAGAGAGCGGGGGAGCAGAAGTGGAAACAAGGGATAGGGGAAAATTGATAGGCCAGTGGAGGGTAGGATTTGCATACGCCAGTGACGAGGGCGAAACCGCCATTCAAAGTGGAAATTGGAGAAGCCATATTGACTGGTTTCAGGTGGGAATACAATTGCGAGACGCGATTGATGGCGGACATGGGAGCAGCGCACTTATATTCGACTTCCTCTGTTCATACGACTCATATACCTCGGTCGCGGTCAACCGGACACAGATGTGAAATATGTACTGCGCATAAAAAAATGACAAGAGAATGCATGAAAGAGAAGAAAAAGAACCGGAACCCCTCAGCTGAGCCAACAAGGCAGGGAAGACATGACTCCACATGTTTGGCCGAACCAATGCTTAATCCTGGTCAGCCAATGTAACCGTGAACAAGGCTGAGAGGCTAAGGAACAAAGAAAGCAAAAGCTAAATCACCCTTCCATGCTTAGATTCAGGCCTCCGCTATACCAAGTGGGCCCTGGAGAGATTATCTGGAGCCGATCAAAAGAAAAGCCGGGGCGGTGCGTACGCAAAGGGCTGATGGTCAATCAAATCAATCAATCAAAATTCTATTAACCTGATGAAGCCTATCTATTGAAACGACAGGCTATGCAGGCGCTTCGCCGAA